CTTGGCCACAAACCTGTTAGGATGTACTGAACCTGAGGGGCCTCCTAATTGGTCGTCTTCAACCCTGATTTTTGACTGGTAATGGTTGTGCACATCTAACCACGTCACAACTGGATACTCGATCAAGTTCTGCTTTAGTTGTCGAGAAGCAATCGAGTTTCGCTCGTTCAAACCCTGCATGAAGGCCTGTATTGCCCAGTCGTCGGAGACTGGCGGCAGTTCATTCTTTCCATCTGAAACCTAGACACGAACTCCCTTAACATCTCGTCGTTCCTTTCTTATATTTTGATGACATCAAACTTTCTCGTGGCCACCTTTATGGCCCCGGCATGGGCTTTAACAAAGGCGTCTGCTAACATAGCAAATGAATCAATAGAGTTAGGAGCTAAGTTGTGATACCAAATCATAGCTCCTTTTGAGAGTGTTTCCCCGAACTTTTTCAACAACACTGACTCGATTTCATCATCATTCAAGTCATTTCCTTTGATCCCGCAAGTGTATGAAGTAATATGTTCATTAGGGTCGGTTGTCCCGTTAAATTTGGGTATATCGGGCATGCGAAATTTCTTAGGAATTGGCATCGGAGTTGCGCTCCGAGGGAATGGTTTTTGTATGAACATTTTGGCATCTAGACCCTTCAAAACTGGAGGTGCCCTCGGTATCTGGTCTACACGGGAGTTATTAGTCTCCACCTTCTTATCGTTATCCTTAATTTTCTTTTCTCCAGATTCAATTCTTTTAGTGAGCTCTTCGAGCATCTTCATAATGGTGGGGTCAGTCTCCGAGTCGTTTCCATTTGACCCTTCCGGCTTTGGTTCTGCACGTCGATCGTTTTCATGTTCAGCTGCACTCGGGGTCTTATTTTGACTTTGAAGTTGAGCGATGGTGATTTTCTGAGCCTGCAACATCTCAAATATCACTTGGAGGCTGACTCCCCCATCTCCTACTCCTGGTGTTCCTTGGTCCCCTGGTCGAGCATCCCTGCGTACACTCCCTTCGGGGTCCGTGCCTAGATTGGTGTTTATAGCAATATGAGAACCAACATCAACTGGTTCCATGTTTGGAATTTCCCCAGGGTTTACCGGTGGTACACTGACCCCTACATTGTTGTTCTCACCAAGACCTTCGTTGTCATGAGTAGGTGCGTTTCTTGAGCTAGACATGTTTCAGCCTGAATATCAAAAAAATCTTGACAAAAAAGTGTAAAGATAACGTGTGTAACGAGAATCAGTAAAGAAATAATCACTATTATCTTTAGCCCCACGGTGGGTGCCAAACTGTTTACCTCGAAAATACGAGTAACAATTAAATTTGATTTGTGGTTTTAAAGATACGTGGTTTAATTCAATACCGATTAATAATCAAGAAGTATGAAGTAGAAAAGAAAGAGAAAGGTGAATCAAACCAATGTTACTCAAAAGTAGTGACTTCGAGCACAGGGACCTCGAGGTAGGCTTGGGTATAATAAGAACAATTATAAAAGCAAAGTAGGAACTATAGAGCTAAAGGGCAATGCTGATGAAAAGCAGACGAAAAAGGTAGAGTATATTCTATTCTCAGTGATCAGATGGTGTTACAAATGACTGGGTTCCCCTTTTTATAATAGGGGAACCCTAAATAAGAAATATTTCTATTTACAGTAGGGAATATTCTTGTTATAGCTATCTAACCGCCTAGTACGGAATTGTACGATCTTATTCCGGGATTTGCGCCATGATCTTAGGGACGTGGGAGGAATCTAGCTCATTCTGTTACAAATCCACAACGGTACTATTTCGGGGTCGAGGACACTTGGCCTCGGTATTCCTCGAACTCCTGTCTCTGGGCATTACATTCTATCTTCGAGCTCGAGTGTGGTCCATCGGTTTCGAACTTGACCTCTCCCGAACTTGGTCCTAGGGCGGAACCTCGAGCTCATAAATAGGGGGCATATGATTTTGACCGTATACAATAATAATTTGTAGTAACTTGTGAATTGAGATACATTATTAAGCTGGGACTTAATTTCCAGGGCATAATTTACAAGCAAACCAGGTCAAAGTCATGGATCCTTTAAGAACAAAGTAGTATGTACTAATCTATATAAGCGGACCTGATTTATTTTTTTCATGGGACAAACACGTGATATTTTTCTTTAATGAGTAGTAGCAATGAGATTTGAACTAAAGATCTCTACTTAATCTAACACCATATTGAATTGTATAATAATCTTTTCTAAAAGTTTAAGCGAATAACTGTCTAAAGAAAAAGTTCTTTGCAACATAAGTTAAACTCTTAATTTAAATATGCCTTCAAAGTTCCAAATGTTTTGCACCTATATCCAGTTCAGTTAAAACCAGTAGTAACAGTGGTGACATTTTGTTCAAGTTTTACATACGCTACTTTATGAGTCAAATTAGGGAATTTAAGCTATTAATTTTTAGAGTTTATTGAACTGTTTGCAAAATCCACAGTCATAATACTTCATTTTCGATCTTTTCCAACACTGTGTATGTCTGTACATTGAACAGGACGTACCGTTACTGTCAGTGTTAAATCAAATACTCCGTATAAAACAATAACTTATTTACATAAATATGTACTGTTTAACAAGCATATCTGTCTGTTTCAAACAGCTGAAACTTCCTTACTTAGAAATGTAAATTGTATGGAGATTCTTTTTGAACTAATGTTTTCTGTTTTCGAATTGAGTAGGCAGTCATGCATATTATAACAAAGAGAAACCGAGACTGTAAATACGTCTGCCATAATATGGCTTGCATTGCCAGGCTTTTCTTTTTTCCTTTCGATTATCGAGATAGAATTTTAATGACCTGGATATTAATTGATTATAGTAAATGAAATCGTCTTCCATATTTTTAGGCAAATGCAGCATCGCTTTCTTCTATTTTACCTACTCTTTTCTTTTTCAAAAGTTATTAGCCTTAGCTATCCGTACGATCGACATGCATACTGAGTGCACGTGAGATGGTGTGTTTTATTCCTCAATTAATACCTTTAAACTTAGTAGAATGGTACTCCATAATATTCCTTGTATACTGTACAAACTCAATAATAAACCAAAAACAGCTAAGAAAAATTGAGGGGGTGACTGGTGAGGGGAGGGAATTTTTTGGATTTTATCTTGCATGGCGTTAATTCCATATATTATGATACTCTTTCTATTTTGATATGTATCGACATGTACGTCGGTATCATTCTACTGCTAATACTTCCTTTAATTATTTCATTTTATGTGAGGAGTTCAGGGTATGACGGTCATAAATAGAGGCGGCTCAACGAAAGTTGTGGCCTAACGCCAAATCTTAGTAAGTGACCTTAAATTTATTTAATACTATTTTTGTAACAATTGTGTACGAATCCTTTATATCTTGATCATTCATCGGTTATCTGCTAGTTCCCACCATTGGAGATACTTGGTTAACTCAACTCATTAAGGCTCATATAATATTTTATAAGAAACATATATTGATGGTTAAGATAGTACTTTATAAATTCTCATAATCTAATAAACTCAATCTTTTACCACTAAGTGGTATCAAAATAATTTCATACATTTTGAATAATTCAAGTCTATGTTGAAGTGAAGAAATAGCTTCATCTATTCTTTATAAAAAATAATCAACTCCAAAAGATATTACAAGAGATTTTATTTTTTTAATTATCAAAGTCGGCATCGAATTATCATTTCATATATTGCATGTTTATTATAAAATTCAGTTATTTATTTGAATAACCTCTATCATATTTCAAAAAATAAATTGTATAATTTGATCTCTTTTACTAATAAATTTATAAAATGTAAATAATATATAAAAATAAATAATTTTGGAGCCTTTCACTTTAGGGGGCCTAAAGAAATTGCTTTAATGGCCTCCCCATTGAGCCGGCACTGGTCATAAAGCACCTAACTTTTTGTGTAAATTGGGGCATAGATTTATAAGGTTTTTTTGAAATAAAATTTTCATATTTAAAACTACATACGTGAAAAGTACTACTCTCCCGTTTGAAAAGATTGACACTATTTTCTTATTAGTCGGTTCCAAAAAAAATTTACACATTCTTATATTTTCTTAATTATAGTCATACAAATATTATGACTTGTTTAAGACCACAAGTTTCAAAAGCTTTATAGCCACACAAATGTTAAGGCATGTTTAATACCACAAGTTTAAAAGTCTTCCTCTCTTTATTAAACTTTGTGTCAAGTCAAAGTAGCACAAACAAATTGAAACAAAAAGAGTATAAATTAACATAATTAATAAGTCCAAATATTTAAATTATAGTCAAGAAAAAAGCAGTTTGACTCCCAAATAATGATAGTGTCAAAAATGAGATATAAATACATTAATTTAATATTTGCTTTACACCTAGGTAAAAACTTAGCTGCAGTAGGTGTTTGCACCAAATATATACCGTAAAATTAATTATAATTAAGTGAAACAATTGTATATATAAACACATATTATGTATCAACTGATTTAGTGTAAATATAAGGTACGAGTTAGTTTTTACGCCTAGTCAAATGATATTAAATAAAATAAGACGAAGGAAATATCGAAGGGGAGCATTGGCGTAACTGGTAAAGTTGTTACCATGTGACTAGAAGGTCACGGGTTCGAGCCGTGGAAACAGCCTCTTGGTCCGGCCTTTCTCGAGATCCTACGCATAGCAGGAACTTAGTGCACCGGGATCCCATACATAGCGGGAGCTTAATGCACCGTGCTGCGTCTTTAAGAGCAAGGAAATATCATTCTAGAATTGTGCACTGCTGGCGGAGGTACAAATCGTGACCATGCATGATCACATCAATAGCTGTCATGTATGCCTGCATAGTTTTAAGTCTATTACAAAGTCTTCATTAAAGAGTAATATGAAGATTATTATGATTTTATAATAAAGCAAGTTAGGTTAAAAGCTCTCTTATGTCGCAAATCTTAAAGACTAAATTACTGGTAGCAAATTTTATTATTAGCCAACCCTTATAAATATCTGCCCAACCACATTAGTTCCTTGTCACAAAGTACCATATCTTCACTCCCATCCCATATCTCTTCATCTCTCTCCTTTTTTCTTCATCTTTTTTTTTAAAAAAAAGATGGATAAAAAACCATGCAACTCTCAAGATGTTGAAGTGAGGAAAGGACCTTGGACTATGGAAGAGGATTTAATTCTCATTAACTACATTGCTAATCATGGTGAAGGTGTTTGGAATTCCTTAGCTAAATCTGCTGGTAATTTTTCCCTTTTTTCCCCTTAATTCCTTTGTAAGTAACAAAACCCTAGATATCACTTGTTATATGTAGGAACACTTTTTATATGTCTCAATATTCTTTCTCTAGGTCTCAAACGTACCGGAAAAAGCTGTCGGCTCCGGTGGCTAAATTATCTCCGGCCTGATGTCCGGAGGGGAAATATTACACCTGAAGAACAACTTTTGATAATGGAACTGCATGCTAAGTGGGGAAACAGGTGAGTATTTCTAAAGAGTAGTACATAAAGTAAATAAAATTCAATTGCAAAAGAAAAAATTGGAAACTGACGGAATTTTTTCCATCAAGTTTTGATTCTCCCATGTGTTTTAATTGTTGAGTGGACAAAGAGAGCCGCTCAAAATTTTGTCCCAAAATGATTCTAAGCTCGTGGCTGTGACCCATAACCTGTTCATCATGGTACTAGATTTGGAATGAAAGAAAATGAGTATTTAAAACGTGTATATGTTTATGGCTACGTACTGAAGATCTTAGAATTGAAACGTGGGGAATATAATCTATAGCTACGGCAGCTAAATTTTGTTTCCTTTATTTTTTCGGTCCTATCAAAAGTTGTTCTTCCTAAACCACTCATCTACCCTATGTCTTCCATGAATAAAATTTAAAAATGATTATTTTCCTTTTCTTAAGCTTATTTTTCAGATCTATTATCGAGCTATATAGTATATATACTAAAGAAACCATACTAATAATAAAGCATATAGTTTTTCGAGAATTTATTTCACATACAAGAAGCTTTTTTTGTTCAAGTATTTTTTTTTTTGCTTAATGATAAAGCACATTTTGTATTATTTTCTATTTTAAGGAAATTATTTTTAAAACCATTTTATGCTTTATTCTTTTGTTAAAAAGTGCTTTATTACTTGAGTTTGACAACCTAAGATAGATCTTTAGGCTAATAATCACATTAAAGGTAATCTTGGGATGTTGATTAACTTGTATGAAGTGATAACAATGTCACTTCTACAATTATTAGAAAGAAAATTATGCTTTAAGAATATGATTACATGTACTTCATTTGTTTTCCAATTAAACTAAGTAGAAAAGGACAGTGGTGAGACAAGGATTCGGTCTAACATAATAGCAGTGGATATAGAACACGTTTTCAAAGAAAGCCAGAAAGATAGAAGTTTCCTTTTTTAGAAGAACCGATTTCATTTTAGTCACATGTCAAGCCCTTTAACTGCTACCTCTAGTTTTGAAAGAGAAGCTCCCACCTCCAAGTTGCTTATGAAATTGACAGCTACCTTATGTTTTTGTTGGTATTTAAAGACAATGGGCCCCTTTTCCGTACATTAGAATTTTTACTTGTACAGGAGTACTTCCCGTTTCAATTTAGATGAGGTAGTTTTACTCGTACAGAGTTCAAGAAAAAGATGGGAGGCTTCTGAAACTTGTGGTCTTAAAAGTTTAAGGGGTAAAAGCTTTGTGAGGCCATGACATTTGTGTGGTTTTAAAAGCTTCTCATTAATGAGTAAAGTGAAAAGTTTAACGTTGAATTATTTTCAACAATAGAAATGTTTCATTCTTTTTAGAACAGACTAATAATGAAAGTGTGTCATCTAAATTGAAACGGAGAAAGTACTTACATGATTAATCCCATTGGATGATTTTGATCTCTCCACCATTTGATATCTTGAATTTGAGTGATAAGAATGAAGATTTTGTTGATAATTTGTGCTTTACCTTCTTGGCGCAAATCTAAACTAGTCTGAATTAATGGGCTTGGGATACAAAGATAGTTAAACATAACAAAATATAATTAGTATGTAAAAACAAGGTCGTCAGTGTTTTAACACCATGATTGAAAAACTAGAATCCAATAAGAAATCGCTAGCCTGTGTTAAGATATAAATTGCAATTAAATAATTAAAATTATGCTTTTTTTATAATATATTAAGTTATTATATGTTGACATGAGGTTAAGATAACCACTTTGTTAGTACTTGTTTCTGCATGCTTAAAGGAAAAACAGAAACAAACAGAAGACACTAGCTAGCTTGGTCCACAAAATTAATCACTAGATATATAATGCAAGAAATTTTACAAGGCTAACAAATTGCATTTTCAGAAGTGATAGCAGACTATGTTTGTTGTTGTTTATTTATGAAGTCATAAGCTGCTAATCAAATCCTAACTGCCATAAAATAGGCTTGTTTCATCAGTCAAGAAGTCGATTATCAAATATATTTTCTTTTCCTCAATTGCAAGACATTAAAGGAAAAGATATTTTATTCTCCTCTTATTTTTTGGAGGTTTTGATGTGTGACTGAGTATATACAATTAAATGTGACAATCATCAAAATTGTTTTTTTTTTCTTTCAAAAATTTCGTTTAAATATTGAACGATAGTTTGTATAATGTAACACTAAAACGTACTACTGTATTATATTATGTGGCTAGTGATAGTGTAACGTTACCATAAAACTGGTTGGCGACGATTAGGCATTGCAAAGACTTGTGTATTCTTCATCAGCTTGGCATCGTCTTCAGCTTACTTTAATATTTGATGGTTTCTTTCAATTTGTTACTCATTTGGAGGCATTGGTGACTCTACGTACTATTGGAGAAGTTGTAAGTGTAATTGGAGTGGTGTCCTGTGGGGAGGATTTCTCTAGTTTCAACGTTTTGTAAGTTGAGTTTCGTTTAAATAAATATATAGGAAAAGGAGGAGGCAAACGTGACTTTGAATTTCAACCACAGAACATGACAGGCATTATTTGTCAACAACAAACGTGATTGAAATGCTTATTTCAATTATGAAAAACCTGTAATCTAACTTTGTGGGCCATCAACATATTGACACTCTTACCAGCATCTTATGGGAAAAAATATTACAATACTTTATATTATTGCTTTATTGGAGTAGTATGTTATAAACTTATTGCCATAGCAGATCTAGTCACATGCAGATTTAGGACAGATTCAACTGAATCCATTGCTTTCACCTCGAAACCCGTACACTAACTCGAATATTGAACCCTTTTTTGACACAGGTGGTCAAAAATTGCAAAGCATTTGCCAGGAAGAACAGATAACGAGATAAAGAACTATTGGAGGACAAGGATTCAGAAGCACATAAAGCAAGCAGAAAACATGAATGGACAAGCAGCTTCTCATGAGCAAAATGATCATCAAGAAGGAAGCAGTAGCCATATGTCGTCTGCTGGTCCAACAGAGACTTACTCTCCAACTTCATACTCTGCAAATATTGACAATACTTTTCAAGGACCTTTTCTCACTGAAACAAATGACAACATTTGGAGCATGGAGGACATCTGGTCCATGCAATTGCTTAACGGCGATTAAGTATGTTGTTCAATATTTTAATTTGAGTTAAACCCCTAGATTGAACCCCACTTAGTACGTACTATAAACTTAAGCTGCTAGATATAAATAGCTAGCACACTATATATAGATTGCTAAAATTCCCCATAATATATATTTCCTGAGTTAAGTGTTCACTGTGTAATACAACAAACTCTAATATAACCCCTGTTCATATAATATATAGATGCGTGGAGGTGCCTATGATTTTATTACCCCTTTATTACTATGCTAGAAGCTTTTCTTATAATTGGGAATAAACCATCAATATACATATCTAAAGGTAAATTTAATTTTTCGGCAAAGGAGATTCAACTGATATGGAGAAATGATGGTTACCTAATCCATCAAATAAGCGCTTTTCAAAGCCTTCTTTAAATGATTTTGTATTGATCAAGTCTAGTTAGAAGTTACTAAAACAAAGTCATGGTCAAGCAATTATTATGTGTCTTAATCTTCTCTCTAAAATATATATATAATCCGACGTTAGCCGACTTAATTAATACAGTTCTAGTGTACTTGCAGTAATCATTTGAGGAAAGTGCAACTCACCAACTACTTATCTAATTAAGCTAAGTAATTTGTAGATGGGAATTAAATCTGTTTGACAAAGACATCAATGTGATTAGACAACTGAAGTGCTATTAGGGATTTGGTACTTTCACAATTTCTTTGAAACATTAAGCTTTGATGTGTATCCTAGAGGATTAGCCTTTAGGGTCAACGTAAGAATAATTACTCGTACCTAATATCCTATGTCAGTAAAAATAAATTTTAACACAATAAATGCAAAAAAGTTACTTGTATTATGAGTCTTTTAAATTATTAATTTTACTTATTATTGTAGTTGTCTTTAAGTATTTTTAATGTGACTCGATAATGTAAATACTTTTTTACATTATTGGTATTTGAAAACAATAGAAAGCAAAGAAATGCATCATGAAGAAATATGGGGCATGCATGCAGAGAATATCATGACACATATATATAGTCATAGATAATAAAACAAGCATAAAAATATTCATCTCCAGCATATACCGAACTTAATTAATGGAAAATGGACACACGGAAAGGCAATATAGCTATTTTTGGCAAAATCAATCGTTGCTTTCCATATTTAACTATATTTGTGCATGGCCTTGCATGTTTGAAGTTCGACGTAAGCCTAACTCTTGAATCCTCCAATGGAAGTCTCCACATGGTCCCTATCAGTTCACATCTACTTTTTTTTCATCATATTAATTAATTATTTCATCTTTTCAACTATTACTTTATTTCCCTTAGTGTTAGTTACTTGCGAGCAAAGAATTAACTTCCAAAACAACCTTATTTTAGCAATTCATTAACTATTCAAAAACTTAGTGTTAGGCCTGATTCTTTTTTAAGAAGGCTAACTATCCTTGTCATGTAGTATGTTATTGTCGTGTGATACAATGTAAACTGATTTCGTTTTTGGACAATTGTCTAAGTCGTTCTTTAATTGCTTTTGTCATTATTACCAATTAGTGTGAGCATTCAGAATTAGCTGGTAGTATAGAAGATGAATTTGATTTGTGGACCCCTTCTACCTTGTGTCTTTTATGATAGTTCAGTTATAACGTAATTACAAGTAAATCTTGATGATCAGTATTATAATTGCTAAATTGACAAAAATAGTATGGAGTGAATAACATATTCTAAAATGTTAAACTATATTAATGGCGTAAAATATATTTTTTAAATATCAGTATAAATAACTTAAACCTCTTTTCTTTTCTTGTTAAGTTTCAGAATTTTGATAAGGAAATAAAATTAGGTGAAATACGGGTCCTTCAAGACAGTGTTCTATATATCGTGCATTTGCAACCTTAGCTTATACAAGCATTACGGGCTTCAACTATATATTCAGTATGTGGTTTTCTCCCTTCGTCGTTAATCTCAACGCAAAATATTAAACGTCGAAATCAAGCGAAACTCACCTTTAAAAACAAATACAGACACACACTCGATGACGAAAGACAGATGTACGAATTCGAGGAGTTGGAAAGGTGAGGCATCTTGTAAGGTCTTTCAAGAGAAAAACTAAACGGAAAATAAGTTTACACTTTCACAGTACAAAAGTCATACGAAATAAACTCCCCCAATTTTGGGCCACTCGCTTATTTCAAGCACATGTTTCTAATGGTGAGAATCAAGTAGTGTGGGATATTCCCCACGTGAAATATTATAAATCACATGTAGAGTCGGCAATGCCGACCCCCCCCCCCCCCCCCCCCCCTTACACAATACATCAACTACATGACACATAAATGGATGAAAAATATATATACATTCATCATTTAGAATGTAAGTTGCAATATGTAAATTTTTTTTTTGAGACCAAATAAATTCATCATTTAGTCTTTACTTTCACAATTAAAAATACTCGCCATAGATAAATGAAACTTGAGTATCATATTAGGATAACAAGGAGTGCATTTTAGTTCGTACACTTCCTTATTTGAAGATATAGCTCACTTTAACGATGTTCATATTAAGATTGAGGCAAAGAGAGAAACCGAGTCAATAACAACAATAACTATACTGTAATTCCAAATAAGTTAGATCGCCTATATTGATTTATTGTTAGACCAATTTAATGCAAAGAGAGAAGAGGTGATAGAATTCATATATTAGTCCTTCACTCGTTTTTTTCTAATTCGTTTAGTTTAGTTTATATAAGCCACGAATATTAGACCAATATATAATGAACAAGTGATCATATGTGAATTAAGCCTGTGAGATCTTCTCTCTTTAACAGACATGAAAGGCAAATAATAACTACCTATAAGATACCTCTTTGCGGCAAAGGAAAAAGGCCGGATAGCTACTTGCTAGTGGGCCGAAGAACGCATGAGCGTCTTTTATGGGCCGGCCGATCTTTTATAACTTTTTTCAAATAAAGATTTTTACTTATTATACTACTTTTGACACTTATTTATCATCACTATTGAAGTTTTAACTTAATTACAAGTTGATATATAATTTACTAATTATATACAAATTAGTATTTGTCACGCCTCATTTTTCCCTAGGGATAGGGTGTTTTTTTAAATTAAAGTGACGTTATTCGAAATGAGATTTATTTATTTTAGAGTCGCCACTTGGGATAATTTTTATGATGTCCCAAGTCACCGGTTTATTTAAATCCCAAATCGAGGAAATTTAACTCTATTTTAAAGTCCGCGGAACCAGAAGACCGGGTAAGAAATTCTGTTAACCTGGGAGAAGGTGTTAGGCATTTCCGGGTTCCGTGATTTTAGCACGGTCTCTTTGAATCATACCTGGCTTAATAAAAATGTTCAATTACTTATTTTTAGAACCTATATACATTTATATTTTACCGCTTTTAATTATGGCGTTATGAATTTATCTTTAAAACGGATCACATGTGTGTGAATCCGTTTAATTTGGGGCGTTAAAATCATATCACGCATACGTTTACATAATTAACCACGCATTATTAATTATCAAGATTGTTTTGGCCAAAGCCGCACGAACACATACTTTAATTTTATTTTTGGGGATCGTAATCATGTCACACGAACGTGTACACAATCACGATAGTAAATTAAATGCGTGCCTAAAATATTTCTATATTCATAAGTTAATTATTTTCTAAACCAATTTGAGATTCGTTGTGCAAGGCCATTGATATGGAATCATTATTAGGGAAATCGATCTACACTTGCAATAACTGATTATAACAATGATCAAGCTCACATTTTAGCCTAAACCTAAGATTCGGTAGGTTTTGTGGATTTGAAGAATGACTGGAACTAACTAAATGCAACATGAGCACTACTATAACGCTAAAAGGGGTTTCAGATTATTGGGCTCCACTTGAGCCCAGGTGAGGCAGAAATGGGCCAGAGTTATCATCAGACCCAAAGCAACATTCAGCAAGACATGGACGTTGAATTACACATCAGAACAAACAGAATGTAATTATGTTCATCCAGTCGTGAGCTTGCTATGTCTGAATACTCTCAAGGGATTAACCAATAACCAGTTCCAACAGATCAAAATTAACAATTATACATCCTGATATGAAATGAATTACATAGATAGTTATAGATATTGTCTAAGATTAGCCACAAAGTAAAGAAGATCATTTGCAAGACAGTAATGAATTTCCAAAGAAACGCAAAAGTTGAATTATCACAAATAGGCTGTCGCGTTTCAAACTACTTCGCCATTTTAGAAAATTTTCAGATCGATACGCGACAACACATTCATTGCACACATAGAATAGCAGAAGTTGAAATTTAGGCAGATTCACAAAATTAGACAAAGACTTGATAGAATTTTTGAATCATTCAGTAAAAACAATACAGGGAGGTGTAGAACTTACCTAGTTGAGCTGAGATAACAACAGTTGAGAGCCAAATCCAGGCCGAAAATAGCTAATTCCTCTAGAATTATGTTTGTGGAAGAGAAAACCAAACAGAGGCTAAATCAACGAGTCAGAAATCAGCAGCTACACAAAATGATATCCAGAAATTTCGAGAAATAAATTTGAAAACCAATGGTAACAAACTTGAGCAATTTCAGACTCCTTTTTTTTTTTTTTTTTATTGTTTTGTTCTTCAAATCTGGGATTTGGACTTTTCAAATTCCTAGACCATTTTTGTGAATTCCTGAGAGTGTGTGTGTGTACCACGAGAGAGAGTGAGAGATAGGGATGAAAGAGGATTCAATAGGCGGCTAGGTTTTTGGGTCAAAGGGGAAGATCCATGTTCTTCAGGGAGGATTAGGAATTAGAGGACGGCGGCTGAGAGAGAGAAGAAGGATGTGGGAAAAGCTAGGGTTTTGGTTAGGGGAAGGTCTGTTCTTGAGAGAATGTGGAATAGAGGGGCGACTGCTAAGGTTAGGAAAATAGGGGGGGGGGGGAGGGGAGTCCGTCTGTTTCTCAGAGAGGAGGGAGTTAGAGGGACGGATTAGGGTTTTCTAGGGGGGAGGGGGGGTATATCCGTTGTTCTTCAGAAAAAATCCCATTTGGGCAGCGGTTGGTTTTTGTTCTTCTTCAGAGAGGAGTGAAATTAGGGTTTTTTTTATTAAGTAGGAGGGGGATCCGTCCCTGTTGGAAAACGAAAAGGGGGATTGTTTTTAGTGAGGGTTGGGGACGAAATGACGTAGTTTTGATGTTAAACTACGCCGTTTGGTGGCCTGAAAGGAAGAGTTGTTGGACCGGGTA